TATATATATATATATTTATTACATATATAACGTTCACAATCTTCTATTTCTCATTTATTATCTGAGATTCTTCACAGTGATTAATATATATCAATTATTCATCCATTAATTATTTATTTATTAATTTCGTCGCCTTCACATTGACATAAGCTTTTGCTTTAATTATTTTTACAAGTAATTCCATAGGAAAATGCCATTATTATTATTATCATCATTATATTTTTAATTATTATTATTTTTGAGGCACCTGGTAATTTTATTATAATTTTCATTATTTTTTCAATTTATTTATTTATAAATTTTATTTTTATTGCTAACCAACTTAGCCGGGTGCCTTTTGCATGATCTAGACCACGGTCCGATCGTACCCCGATATTCTCATATAAATTTTTTTTTTTGTAAATTAAAATCAAAATTAGTTTCTATAAATATTAGATTTTTATGATAAAAAAATTGATTGGTATTTAATAAAATTAATTTTTTTATTTTAATTTTTTATTAATTGAAAAAAATATTACGTATAGGCGTTTATGGGGATGTACAACGTGTGAAGATTCTTTACAACAAAAAAGACTCAGCCCTTATCCAGATGGCCGAGCCTCATCAAGGACATTTAGGTAATTAATATTTTCTAATTTTTATTAAATTAATAAATTAATTGTAATTAGCAACCTTGCAGTCACTATGTGACTACCGTGTCTTGTGAACTATAAATAAATAAAATTTTGCTTCATTAAATAATGACTTTTGTTAAATTGCACTTTACTATCTTAACTATTGATTTTTTTTTAAGATATAAGCTCACCCCGATGTTACACTTGTCAAAAGCTTTCATTTGAGTACCCACATGCATTTTCATATATTTTTCATATATACATATATATAATATATATATTAAAGATATAAGCTCATCCCGATGTTATACTCATCAAGAGCTTTCATTAGAGTACCCACATGCATTTTTGATATATTTGTCATATATACATATATATAATATATATAAATATACAAAATATACGAAAAATTGATGGGAGTACTCAAATGAAAGGTCTTGTTGAATGTAGCATCGGGATGAGCTTATATCTTTAAAAATTTCAATAATTCACAAGATACAAGGTGATTTCTTAATTATGTATCTAAAGATCGAGCATTTCCGAATACAGCCTATATACTTATCATAATAAATTGACTGTCGGTGAGGATGAAATGAAACCTTGAAAATATGAATTACTAAATATTAATTAAAATTTCAGCAATGACTCACATGGACAAACTAAAAGTCTTTGGAAAACAAATCAGAGTGATGGTGAGCAAACACCAGACTGTCCAATTACCGAAAGAGGGACAACCAGATGCGGGTTTAACTAAAGACTACACCAACAGTCCTCTTCACCGATTCAAAAAGCCTGGCTCGAAAAACTACCAAAATATCTACCCACCAAGTGCGACCCTGCATTTATCAAACATTCCGTACGTATTAACGCAATTAAATTTTTTTTAATTAAAAAATTAATTAGATTAATTAATTCAATTCAAAGCAACTTATTGTTGAAATTGATTAAAATAGAGCAACTAAAAAAAAAAAACAATTCATTTAATTAAAAATAATAATAAATTATACTAATTGATTATTTGTAAAAATCCAGGGCGACTGTAACAGAAGACGAGATAAAGGATGCATTTACGTCGAACGGCTTCACAGTGAAAGCATTTAAATTCTTCCCTAAGGACAGAAAAATGGCCCTTATTCAGATGCCTAGTATGGATGACGCAGTAGCAGCTCTTATTGTAAGTCTCTTAAATAAAATTAAATTACATTGAATTTAAAGTAAAAAATGATTGAAAAAAGCTAAAGGTTTACAACTTTTATTACAGAAAATGCACAACTATCAATTGAGTGAGTCCAACCACCTGCGAGTTTCATTTTCAAAGAGCAACATCTAACAAGAGAGACCTTACATCGAGTCGCAGTGGTTCCAGCCATACGCTCTTGTTCACTATTGGACCCACTCTACCCTCTATGACTGATAGATCCACCGACTCCACAATCGCTCCGATAATGGACTACCATTCACCCAAGCACACTACATACTACTGCTAGATACTGCTATACTTTACCCATCGAACTTAACAGCCAGCTCGCTATCATTCGTCAACGTCCTTCAGCAGCAACACTTGACAATCAAAGTCTAAGGGAATGAGTATCAGGACTTCGGTCAACTTGTCACATTCCTATTAAACAAAACGCTATCAGTTATTACAATTATTTTATCTGATAATTATTTTTAGTTATTATTATTAATACTAATATTAATATTAATTTAGATTTTAAAAGCTAATCATGTGAGACTTGATAATAATTAAGAATAAGAGTGTCTTTGTGTTATTAAAGTACACCGATAATAGTTGATCATGATAAAAATTACCGTCGGATTTAAACAAAATAACTTATTGTATTGTCTGAGCTCAAGGTTCCCGGTTTTAAATAGTATTGCGATTGTCTATGTCTGGTTTTTCCGAACAGAAAATTTAACAAAACTAATTAATTATTTGTGAAAGTTTATTGACCCGAGATTAAACATTTAAATCTCAGTTACGACCTAGATATAGACCTAGAGACTAGACTATTACTATTATTTAGAGTTACGGATTATCACCGTCTATTATTACATTACAAACTCGATAAAATGGATCTGAAGACTTTAACGATTGAAATGAGCGCTGGGTTGCTGATATATTATTGATAAATAGCAGTTTTATTAACTCTTGTACAGAATCCACGTATCGTAAGATATTTAACAAATAAGCCGGCCGCATTAGCGTCCATTTGCTGGTGATTCATATAATTATTATTATTAATTATTATCATTACTAGCGCGTAAGAATTTTTAAGATGAGACAAGATCTCTTGCATCAATATTACTTTTATTTACAAACATTCTTACGGCTTCCCGGTGCTACGTCGGTTTAATATATTAATTATTCCTGTTACTCTCCGCGCCGCCAATACAAGAATGTTTGCTGGAAAAAAAAAATGAAAAAATAAAAAAAAAAAGATGATTAATAGCAAGAAATGTGACATTTATTTAAAGAATGATGAAAAGAAATGTCTGGTTAATAGTTTAGGTATCCAGTATTTACTTAGTCGGTCATCGCCGCATCTTGACAGCAGTTAAATGATCTTTAATGTAATGTGATGCTGAAAATAGCAGATCTGATAATTTATTTATATTTTTGATTTGTAAAAATTTAAAAAAATACTTAAAAATTTGTATTTTTTTTTATTTTTACGGTAATATTTATATATGTAAAATTATTGGATTTAAATAAGCACTTCGGCTGGCTATTTTTAGTATCACAAACCCGATTAAAAAATGAGCTGAAATACGCAAGACAATCGTGCTGTGTTTTTTTTTTGGGAACCAGCATATCAGATGTACAAAAAAAAATGTAATGAACTATTAATTATTTTATAAAGGTGATAATTATTTTTTGTCAAAGTTATATTGTATAAATAAATTTGATAAAACGGCTGTCAACTATGCGCGCGATCCAGGCTGATTTTAAACAAACAAACAAGTATAGATCCACACATATTTATATATTTATTAATAATTAATATGTGTGTATGTATTAGGGTGGCGCAAAAAAACCGACTATTTTTTTTTTAGTCTTGAGTGAAAAAATGTTGGTTTTTGATGGTTTAAGAGCTCTCTCCAAAGGACAGCTTAAAAAAAAATTTTTAAAAGGTCGCTCCAAATTTTTTTAGGTTTCAAAAATCGTCGAAAATCGAATTTTTTTTTTTTCGTTACACCATAATTCTATAGAGAACAAAAAAAGATTTTCCTGAAAGTTTCAATTTAAAATGTGAATTTTAAAAGGTCGCTCATAATTTTTTTTTAATTTATTAGTGACTATTTAATTGGAATAGAATTTTTTGAGTCTGAAATTTAAAAAAATTATGAGCGACCTTTCAAAATTTAAATTTTGAATTGAAACTTTCAGGAACTTATTTTTTTTTGGTCTATAAAATTATGATATAACGAGACAAAAAATTAAAAAAAAAAAATTTCGATTTTTGAAGCTTAAAATAATTTGGAGCGACATCTTAAAAAATTTTTTTTGAGCTGTTCTTAAAACATCAAAAACTGACATTTTTTCACTCGACACTCAAAAAAAAAAATAGTCGGTTTTTTTGCGCCACCCTAGTATGTATGTCTAGTTTTTAAATTATTTTAAACTTTTGCATTGAACAAGTATTACACGCACACAATCGCCGATACATCCACACATTATGTTATACATTTATTTTATTGTTAGATTAGGTCTTATTCTTTTTTTTATTTCTTATTTGTTATGAATTATTGATAGCGTATAATTGTAAGGATAATGATGATGAGGATCGTTTAACATATCGCCGTTTCATATATTTGAGTATATAAATATAAATATAAATATTAACATTAATAATAATAATAATAATAAAATAAGAACAGAACAATGTAATGTATTAAATAGAAACAGACAAAACGGGTTATGACAGACAAAGATTGAGGGATTTTTATTTAATTAAGCTCATGCTAAGTATAATTAATAATTATAATTGCCTGTGAGATTTATTGTATTAATTCCCAGTACGGATTTATATTAATGTGAAAATTGTCTTCCATCGGCAACTCGATCGTTCACCTCAACATTTAAATAATTAAATAATTATTAAAGCTATTATTACAATAATATAAATTGATAAGTTTAATTAACCTTCAGTCTTTGTTTTGGTAAATACCCGTAATACTTTTTGATTGGTTATTATTATTATCATAATTGATAATTGATTAATAAAAGCGCGGTAATTAAAAATCATTTAAATCAATGTTATATATTGATGTAAGATAATAAATAAAATAAAAGCAGTAGATGATACGATAGCTGAAATAAATAATAAAATGGTTAGTTTGCAGATATGTAGTGTTATAAAGACAGGCCCAAAAGTATATAAAGTAAATCATGGTATGATAAATATATATTAAAAAATAAAATAAATGAAAAAATATAAATATATATTTAAAATAAGAAAAAAATACCAGCGAAATAGCAATTAGCTGGTGTTGTATTTTATTATCAGCTGGCCTGGCGGAATATAAATTATTCATTTTATTTTTTATTTACTATTTTTGCCCCTCGAAATCAAACTCTCGAATAATTATTGAAACTATCGATTTATAGTGAATTTTAAAAGTTGATAATTAAAGGATTAAGAATGAAATGATATTATGAAAGAAAAATAAAATAATGATAATGATAAATTACAAAAACAAATAAAAGTATTGATGTTTAAAGTAATATTGATTAATGAATTATTAAATTTTAAAGTTACAAGTTACGTGATGTCGTATTCGACGGTTATTGTTTTACATGTAAACGGAAGGACTCGATTTATTGTCAAGTTTATTATTAATTTTTAATTATTATTATTAATCCAAGTATTTTGTGACTACTTTAGTTAACTTTTTATTATTATTTTTTATACAATAAGTAAACTTGTGTACATTTTTATCTGATGCATATTTTGGAGTCAATTAAATTTTATTACTGTGTTAAAAAACAAAAAATATTAATAAAATGCGTGTTAATCTAGAATTAAAATACCAGATCGTGTTATAAAAAATTTTTACATTTTTTATATAAATTAAATTCAGCATATTAATCATTTTTTTCCAACAATTTTTTTTTCCAGTATTTTTATACTCATTTTTTCAAGTTAATTTTTTCTATTCAACAATTGAATTTTTTCATTACTATTTTAATATATTTAATAAAAAATTTTATAACACGATCTGTTAGTTAAAATTAAATAAGCAAGTGCCGGCCCCGGACAGTTGGTATTTTGTGCCAAACTAGGCTTAACCATAAAAAAAATAAATATTTAACAGATAAATAATTAAACGTTATAAAAGGCCAACTCAGCGAACTGAAAACTGTTAGCAAAGAAATAATAAAACTCAATTGAAAATATATGTATTTGTATAACTGACCAATATATAAAAAAAAATAATAATAATGATACTAAATACTAAATATAATAAATATGCATTTAATTAATAAATAAATAAATAAATAAATAAAATAAAATAACAGCCGGCATGAGCGAACGGGGCCAGTTTGAACCTATGAATCTGTATTAAGAATCTCCAGTAACTGTTTTAGATAAATAATTACCGATAAATGGCAAGTTGATAATTAGAGTTCCGCAAATAAAACAAATATACTATTTAAAAAAAAAAAAAAAAAAAAAATGACACGCAAAAACAAAAATAATTATAGCACGCGCACAAGTAATTATAGTATTAACGATTGTAGACAGCGATTACAATTATAATTATAATTTCTAGCTATTAATTTTTAAATTAAGATAACATTTTTTAATGCATTTTATTGCCAGAATTATTGTAACTGCTTATGTTTATTTTATTTAACTTTTTTAATACCTACTTTATTTTAAACCATTTTTAATAATACTTTTTACCGTCTATTTTATTTTATTTTATTTTACTTTATACTTTAGTATTAATATTCATTTTTTTGTTCCACCTCTGGTGCACTTTCATGCTTATTTATATTATAAATTTAATAACAATTAAGTTTTTTATTTTCGGTGCTTCCTGTCACGCTCTCAAATCCTCAATAAAATCCTCCAAATAAATTCCTTCCTCAATTTTTATAAATATATTTATTTATTACCAATATTTTATATTTTATTTATAAATATACTACAGAAGTTACTTTAGTTAACAACAACAGGGTGACTCGAAGTTCTTCCGTTTTTTTAAAAATAATTTTAATAAATTAAAAAACAATTATAAATAATGAACTGGTTATAAAACGCAAAATATCGTGTATAAATTTATTAGCTGGATTGAGGGGGGCCGAGGTGAGACTGGATT